GAGCTTCCTGGCCTGGAGCTCTGTGGTCACAGGGTGTGTGCCAGATCTACTAACAGAGCTCCTGGGCAGGTGTGCTAGGAGGATGGGTGGATACTCTGAGAGCCAGGGACGTGGCTGGCATCCACGGAGCAGCGGCTGCCACCACGCTGCATCTGCCACGCCGCAGTGGGCCACCCTCCTGGGACGGGCCATTGTTGCACTTCTCACTTCAATGACAGCAAAGTGAGGCTCCCAGGGGAAGTGACCTGGGGTAAGCGCCTAACGCAGCTGGCAGCTGGGCGACAGGGTGGGCCCTCCCCCCCGCCATGTGCGCCTCCTCACCCACGACGTCCAGCTGGTAGGTGTGGTTGATGCTGCCGTACTTGTTCTCCACGATGCAGGTGTAGTTGCCCTTGTCGGAAGGCACCACCGAGTCCATGATGATGCTCCAGGTGGCGTAACGCACCTGCGGGGACAGGTCGAGGGCCCCATGTCTTCGCCACAGCCTGCAGGGCCACCTGAGCGGGACCGCTGTGTCTCTGCAGACTCCCAGACACTCCGGGCACCTGCCCAGGCCCAGGCCTCCACCCACACCATGCCCGTGTCCAGGAGGCGCTGTGGCTAGGAGTCGGCCCTGCTTGCCCTCGACGTCTCATTTCAAATCTGGCTTCCTCCAGCCCCTTCTCCAGTCTGAACTGCTCGCGGACATCTGCCCTCCTATCAGACGGGGTGACTGTCACGGGCAGCAACACTTCCTGACCATGTGAAGCTCGGTGTCCCGCACACAGAAAATGCTTTGCAAATATGTTTAAGATGTTTCCTGTTCTTTCTGACCCTCTCTGCTTTCTTATGTAAGATTAACGAGAAAAAGAAGCCACGGGAGATAAGACACGGGACTGTGAGGACGGGCGGAAACTCTAAAGAAGAGACTAAGATAAAGATGTTTTCCCTCCGAACATGGATAGGCAGAGGAAACAGGCAGCTCACACGCTGGGGAATGAACACTGCTTATGGGCACAGGGAAGCCCCGGCTTTATTACTGAGCACAGCAGTCCACAGCCGACAAGGAAGCACTCGCACTATCAAATTTGTCGGCAAAGGTGGCGTGAACTGTCCTCCTCGCCCTTTGCTATAGGAGGGTGAATTCAATCTTCCCCTTTTAAAAAGTAACTGGGGGCAACGTAGTGGCACAGCAGTAAAGCAGCTGGCCCATATGGGCAAGGTCCTGGGTCCTGGGGTGTGAGCGTGTCCCTCGGCACGGGTACGTGTCACCCGGGTCGGTAAGGGCACTGGACTCCCACATGGCTGACCGCAGTTCGGGTCCCGGACCTGGTGGCTTGGTTTCTCAATTTCTCTCTCTCTCTGTCTTTCTCATTCTGTCCCTCTCGGGTCAAATTGAAATAAATAAATAAATGGATAAATAAAGTTGAAGAAAATGATTCTTAAAAGTTAAGAAATTATATACAGCCATGAACACTTATCTTTCCAGTGAGGTGGCGGTGGGGGGCTCGTTCAAATACTTAAACTATAACAGCAAAGACTCATGCAATCGGGGAGCCAGAAACCTTATACGCAACGTGATCAACCGTGTCAAAATCACACAGGCAGAAAAGACTGGAAAGATTTTTTACTCTGATTTGCATGCTTTTGTGTTTGATTTAACTTTTTTGTGATAGGGTGTATGTGCTCGCTGGAGACAGGGAGAAGGAAGGTGAGAAATCAGGTGGGGAGGATGGCCGTGCGCAATCCCTTTCCTTCCATCCTGCTCTTGGGAGTTTGGGCATGCACATAGATGCTCCTGAGTGGGGGTCCGGCACCTTGACCACCACACCACCTGCTGACCCCATATTCGAAAGATTTTCAAAAGCATTAGCTTTATAGTTGAAAATGTTTAAAATAACTAACGGGATGTCAAGAGGGCTTTTAAGTTAGACTCTCCGAGTCCTCTCACTCTCCCACCTTGTAGCCTCCAATCCTGTGGTCAGGTTTGAACTCTTTGCCATTTTTCAACCAGCGCAGGGTGGGGTTGGGAGTTCCACTGGACGGGCATTTGAACTTCACGGTCTTGGCAGCTGGTACCGCGTGCAGTTTCTTTTCCATCTTTTCTGGGGAGGTCCAATATGGAGCTACGGCTGCCCGGGGAAAGCCAAGAGATCGAGGTAGGGGTGCTGGTCAGGCTCGGGGAGAAGGGCCCAGGCCAGGCCCACAGAGCACTGCCGCCCAGCATGGTGAGCAGCGCCCAGAACTTATCAGAACGCTGGGGGGCCGCCCAAGGGGCCCACACCCGGGTGCCCCCTTCTCTTCTTCCCTACCGCCCCTTGCACCCCGCTCCCGCCAGCCGGCGTAAGGTAGGAAACAGTGTCTCACGCATACGGTTTGGTTTGGTGTTATCTGTCTCTTTCTCCTCCGAAGAGGAGTCATCGTCGTCATCGTCGTCCTCCGAGGAAGGCAGAGCATCTACAGGAGAAGGAGAGGCGCTGAGGTCCCTCCAAGGTGCCTCTCGATGCCCACTGGGACCACGGCCACCTCACGCAGACACGCCTCCCCAAAGGGACCCAGTCCCACTGTCCCTTAGTGCTGGCCTCTCGCGGGACAGGAACGGCGTGCCTCTGTCTCGTCTGCTTCCCTCCTCGCCGATGCACTGGCCTCCCCTGCCCAGAGCCGTCAGGCTTCGTGCTGGGCACCTCCACTAGCACCAGCTGTCCCGTGCTCATCATGCCCATCCCCACCAGAGGCGCGCTCTCCTGGTACCACCAGATGCGCTGGTCTCTGGGTCTCATAACCAGCTGGCAGGGACCCCGTCCCTCTACGGACTGCCAACTCCCAGGTAAGGCAGTGGACCCAGCACACTGGGGCTGGAGCAAGTCCTGAAGTCAGGCCGGGTGGCTGCAGTCACTGTCCCAACATGTGTCTGCCAGGACCTGGGGACGACCCTTCTCGGCCAGCACGGGCGGAGAGCCTCTGCCAGGCCAGGGCCGCCCACCTGTCCCCAGTGAGAACCCGCCCTGTGTGGGTCTGAAGGGGAAGGCGAATCCTCAGTGAGGCTGAGGGACAGGTGTGAGCCGCAGCCTGGGGGAAACACAGTCTCAGCTCCGTATCCTTCAGTCCTCGTTTTCTAAGGTCACATCTGAAATGGCAGAGTCCCCAAGTCGCAGAGCTTTGGGGTCCCCTGCTGCCCTAACGCAGCTCCGCAGGCGGGAGGGCAGGCGTTGGCCATGAAGTCCTTGGCTCTGGTGCTGCCCCAGCTTCTCCCCACCATAGGCCCCTCTGAGGCTCTGATCGGAAGCTGAGTAGCTCAGGCCGCAAGGCCACCCAGTGTCCCCGACACCACTCCAAGCTCGGAAGCCCCAGACTCTGCCTGGAGCGCCCACCTGGTCACCCCAGAGCTAAGCCACGCGGCGGGCAGGGCGCATGTTAGTGGGCAGCAGGTGGGAAGCAGAGGGGGCAGATCACGGGAGGGGAGGAGGCTGCCTCCCCTGAAACTAGCAGACAGGGTGGAGGTGGGTCCGGAGAGGGCGGGCTTGGCTACCAACCTGAGACGTTGACGGAGAAGTAGGTGGTGTCGCTGCCCGAGGGGCTGCTGGTCACGCACGCGTAGAGGCCCGAGTCGGCGGGCGCGGCGTCCCGCACCTCCACCTCCTCCCCGGTGATGCGGGTGCGGTTGCCGTCCACCAGCTGGGCCCCGTCCCGCAGCCAGTTGATGCTCTGCACATCATCCCGCAGCCGACAGCGGAGCTGCAGCAGGTCACCGGGGTGCACCAGCAAGGACTCCACTTCCACAGGGGTGCCCCAGGGCTGGGCTGCAGCCACCCACGGGGCCCGGGAGAGGAGCCAAGGGCGGGAGAGGAAGAAAGGGGGGGAGAGGGGAGAGACAGGGATCACGCTGGCCACGCTGGGTTGTGGCTCCCCAGCTGCCTTCACCCCATCTCCTCACCCTCTCCCCCAGAAGTCAAAGGCAGAAAGAGGCAAGTTAGGAAGCAGCTGCGGCAGCATTAAGCGGGTCACATGTCACCCCAAGCCTAGGTGGGCCACCACCCCAGGGCCCCCTTTCCACACGCTTAGTGCTTGGCCAAGAATGGCCTCTTCTGAGAGGAATGCCCCGCTTCCTTCTGGCTGGATCAGGCTCACCCCCTGCCCTAGTAACAGACGAACGACCCTCCCCAATCCAGCAGCCTCTCCACTCCCCCAGCTGGGAGAAGTCAGCCCGACAGCCCGCTCGCCCGCTCTCCCGTGGCTCAGGGAGGTGGGGTCTGGCCCCACGGGCTCAGATGTATGTGGGGGGAGCCAGCCCACAGAGAGGTCAGCTCAGGGGAGCGACGAGCGGACAGGTGCCAGCCAGAGGACGTGGGCTTTGGCCTATATTAGGAACGGGGCCTGCAGCTGCTGTGACCGGCACTTGCTCTGGCAGCAGGAGCTGCTGCACACAAAGCCCCTTTCTCCTCGGCTCTCCCCCGGCCCTGTCACACAGCCGTGCCCCCTGTCCTGTCCTCTTTCCCCAGCAGCAACTCCTCGGTCACTACCAAGAAGGCCCGTCACCGGGACACACCTACAAGCCAGCCACCGGCCTGCTACCCACTCTGGACCACGAGGGGAGCACATGACTCCCCTGGGATGTTCTCACGCACCCTGGCATCTCCTCCGAGAAGGCGCTGGTGCCCCACAACCTCACCCCTGCCCTGCAGAAGTGAGAAGCCGCATTCTCACCACCTGTCCACCAGCAGAGGCTCCCGTGGAGCTGCGTGCAAGCCCTGATGTGCCAGGCACCATCCCGGTTGCTGCTGGCTCTGCCAGCCTGTCAGCCGCGGGCCCATTTCTCTTTGCCTGGCCCGCCCCACTCTCTCCAATTCTCAGCCTGGCTGGGGCTCCTCCTGAAGGCTCTCAACTCCCCCCGCACTTGCCACAACGAGGCAGACGCCTGTCTCAGCTGAGACCGAGTTCCTGAACTGAGGATTAGGATGTCTGGTCGGCCTCGCAGCCGCAGCACTCGAATACTGGGCATGTAAGTTAAGAGCTGCTCGGTAAACGATTGCTGGGGGCCAGGCAGTGCTGCGGTGGCAGACACCAGGCTCGGAGGCAGACTCACATGGGAAGGTTCTGGGTTCCCATCTGGGGACCTCTCCGAATCTGCTGGGCAAGTGTGTGCCCATGACCCAGATCTGGCTGGGGCTGGATTGCAGCCTGAGGCTTTGCTGGAGTGCTGTCTCTCTCCGCCTCGATCACTCATTTATGAGCCAAACTCTTTTTTTTTTTTTTTAAAGAATTTTTATAAAACTTTGTTTCAAAAATTTGACCAGGGAGGGACAGAATGAGAAAGAGAGAGAGGGGGAGAGAAAGTGAAAATGCGAGCACCAGGCCCAGGACTCGAACTGTGGTTGGCCACGCGGGAGTCCAGTACCCATAACCACCATACTACGTGCTGGCCCCAGAAAAACTTTTAAACAACCAAATAAATGCTTGCTGAGTAACTGATCCACGGCCTCCCTTTTTAAATCCACACACGCCCCTTAATGAGTGTCTTTCCCAAGAGCTCGACAGGTTTCCAGCAGAAACCCTACAGACGGCAGGCACCAGGGGCACGCGGTTAGGCCAACAGGCCAAGGCTGCGTCCACCGAGGGCTCTATCTCAGATCCAGGGTCATCAGAAATGGGGTGTGGCGATAAAAGGGCTCAGAAGCCACGAGGCCAGCACACGGTTATTACTGTGGATCCGGTTCGGCAGGAGACCACAGAGGTGAGCAGACCACACAAGTGATTAAAAATAAACTCTCTCAGGTCTTGGAAAAAGTTGTCCTTTCCATTTTTATTGGTCTGTGGTTTTACCAAACGAGGGTAGAAGAGAAGTAGTTTGGCCTTGACCGTTAAGGAAAACAGAAGACACTCCTATTGATCAAATCTCATTTCCCTCAAATGAACTCACTGATTAAATATTTTGCAGCTCATGATCTGTAGCGCTGGTCAGCAGTGACTCAAATTTTCAGTTGCCGGCACTCAGGGCCCATTTCGACAGCTCTCAGAGACGAAAGGGAGCTTCCAAAGACACAGACACGGCAAGTAAAATATCCAGGTAATTCTACAAAAGGAGTTGGCCCTGCTGAGCCGGGCTCTGGCTGATTCTGTAACTTCCTGCCATCCTGGCCAGGACGTGCAGACAGTCCCCCCCCCCCCCCTCTGCCTGGTCTAGAAAAGCCTCCAGAACCAGCTTCCCTCTCTCCCAATGCAATTGCTGAGGCCCCATTTCCCTTCTTTTTTTGAGAGAGATTCCTGCTATAAGACGTGTGCCCTCACCAGAGAAAGTGAGAAAATCACTCCTCAAGGGAGGGGGCCACTCCCCAAGGGAGGTGGGATTTTGGGCACACATGCACAAGTGCCCGGCGATGTGGGAGTCCACGACGTTAACCATTACACCATCTGCCGGTCCGTGTCCCCCAGTTCCCTTCTAACTGTGTCCAGGCTTGCTCCCTCCTTCCTTCCTGGCACCCTCTTGGCATCCTGGTCCCAAGCAGTGGTCACACTCATCCTGATGCTCCCAGGCCCTGCCCTCCTGGTGGAGATCCTGCTCCGCATATAGGATAAACTCACACGCTGGCTTGGCCTCCAAGGGCCCCCTGAAAGTTGCTCCCACCCCAAGTTAGGTCCTCTGCCCAGACTGCATGAAGCTCATTGCCACTGAGAAGCCAGGCCTGGTGGTGTGTGCCTAGAACCCCAGCTATGGGGGTGGAGCCGGGAGGGTTGAGAGTCCGAGGGCTGCCCGACCACATAGTGGGACCTGCTCTCAAAACCCAGCCGACCCCGATGTCCAGGAAGACCTCTGCTCACACTGGCATCTCTACACTCTGTGCGACAGTCACCTTGAACCGCACGGCTGCACGCAGTTACAGACTGTCTTGTATCACTCTCCCTTTCTATAGGTTTTGCCGTAAGGTGGTGCACTCTCCAGAGACATAGAGATGGACAGTGAGAAATCACCTCCCCAAGGGAGACGGCCACACCACCATCCCTTCTCCTCCATTCCCCTCTCCAGATTTTGGGCATGCACACGCGCCTGGTGTGATTTACAAGCCTCCAGGTCCGGGACTCAAACACTGAAGTCAGCCATGTGGGATCCAGCCACCTCAAGACCACTGGCTGGCCCTCACATACTGTAAAACCAGCCCACGTGATGGCTTTAGTACATTCAGGACTGATCAGCCATTACTACTCAGCAACTTCAGAATGTTTGGACCATTCCAAAGAGAAACTTGTGGCCCTCACAGCTACTCCCCATCTCCCAAACCCATTCTCTTATTATTATTACTTAATTCCATTTGTGATTCTTGTTGTTGTTGTTGTTATTATTATTCAACCTAACCAGATACAGAGAGAGAGAGAGAAAGGTAAATCGAGAAAGCAAGTTGCCAGGTCCGGGACTCAAACCACGGTCAGCCATGTGGGAATCCAGCACCTTTAACCACCATGCCACCTGCCGTCCCCCCAAACCCATTCTTGCTCTATGCAGCCAGGGATCTGCTTTCTGTCTCCGTAGATTTGCTCGGTGTGCAGATAAATATTTCTAGTTTTGCTGTAGGGCACATGTTGCTCACCAGAGAGAGACAGAGAGAGACAGAGAGAGGGAAAGTGAGAAATTACCCCTGGGGGGCAGATGGCCACAGCATAATCCCTTCTCCTCCATTCTCTTCTTGGGAATTTAGGCATGCACTCACCCCCACTCAGACTGTTCTAACTGTGAAGTCGGCCACGCGGGATCCAGCCGTCTAAACCACCACGTTACCAACTGGCCGGTGGATACGTATACATTCGTAAATTTGTTCATGCATTTCTTCATGGAGAGAGAGGCGTACAAGGGGACGGAGCAGGTGGAGGGGCCAACCCAGGGGACCCTGACACCATGACCTGCTGCTAGTCTGGGGCAGGCCGGGTCATGGGCACATGTGTGTGTATCCAGCACCCGGGGGTGGCCTCAGGACTTGAACTGGGGCTCCTTCCCATGTGGGTCCAGCCGCATCACTGCTGCACCACCTCCCGGTCTCTAACCTGAATGTTGTACTCAGTGGAACCATAAACGTCTTTTGCCTAATGTTCTTCTTCTTATTTTTTTTAAATCATTGTATTTAGCTTTATTTATTTATTTAAATTTGACCAGAGAGGGACAGAGAGAGAGAGGTAGAGAGAGAAGAGAAAGAGAGAAAGCAAGCCACCAGGTCCAGGACTCAAACTGCAGTCGGTCACGTGGGAGTCCAGTGTCCTTAACCACCATGCCACCTGCCAGCCCTGGCCTAATGTTCTGTTGTTTGTATAAACGTCACATCCCAGCCATCTGTTGATAGACATGTGGGTGGACATTCTTTTTTATTTTTAAAGGATTATTTATTTTATTTATGATTATGATTATGTTTTAATTTGCTAACATGCACTCACCAGACAGAGCGACTGAGAAAGCAAGCTGCCAGGTCCAGGACTTGAACCACAGCTGGCCATGTGGGAGTCCAGCACCTTAACCACCACGCCTCCTGCTGGCCCCCAGGGTGGCTATTCTTAACTGTCGAAGCCTCCCTGACATGCTCCTCCTAAGAACGGTCAAGCAACTTGGAGCAGAATCGCCTAGTCCAACGTTCCCCCGTGCTTACCAACGTCAGAAACGGGACATACTCAACAGGCCCCGCTGAATTTAGCATCCGGCAAGGCGGTTTTACAGGACCTGAAACCTGGCCTGGGGCTGCTGGGCCACAGTGGCCTTCTTCACGGCTAGCAGGGTCCCCGGGTGTGTCACGAATTTCCATTTACCAAGCAGGGATAACCGCTC